GCTCTCAGAAAGAACCCTCAAGCATGGCTTGATTTCATGATGAAGTAAGTTCTTACGTTCTCACTTTTCATAACATAGTTTAATATTTTTTTTTCTCTTGGATCTCATGCAAATAGAAAATTAGCAAAATTTTGGCGTTATAATATACAGAATGTGGTATGAGTTGAAAGGTGATTATTGACCAGTTCACAGGTGATATATCATTAGAAATGTGAATTTAGTCCCCTTCTCGAGCAAAGAAAACGTACAGATAAAAAAATTCATATAAAAAGAGTTCACATTTAACAAAATGTTATGGTTCAAACCCATATAACTTCTTAAAAGTAAAAAATTTATTTAAAAATTAAAACAAAAATCTCCTTACGTATAAAAAAAATTTATCCAACTCTTTCTAATTCGAGTTAGAAACACATAATACTAAATCGAAAAAAATTGGATCAAATAAAATCAAAATTAATATTGGAATGATTTTAATTAAGCTTACGTTAAGTTAGGTTATGCTATATTTCATCAGAACAAATAGTTTTAAATTGAATTTGCATAAAATCAAGTAAAATTTGACTCATATGGAGATGAGTATGTATCATTACGGCTCGATTCATTTGTACTCATCTCAGATCCAATTGAGTCGAACCTACCTCAAGTTAATATCGATTGGGACAATTTAAGAATGACTTGAGTTAAATAAACCTTAGGTTGAGTTAAGTCAGGTTTATATTATGTCAATTCAAGTTGAGTTTGAATCAGGTTGAATTGAGTGTAGCTGAAGTCAAAATGGGCTTGGATAAGGCTGGGTAGAGTCAGGTCTGGTCAAGCTTAAGTCAGGTTTGAGTCTAACAAAGTTAAATTAGATTCATATTAATTCAAGTTATGTTGAGTCGAGTGCGGTTAAGTTCACATTAGGTTAAGTAAAGTCAAATTAAGTTGAGATGTGTCCATGTTAGGTCAAGTAAAGTCCAAGTCAAGTTTAGTAGGCTTGCATAAGGTTGAGTCAAGTCAAACTCACCTTAGACCAAGTTTAATTACCTCACCTTGAACTGAGTCAAGTTGGGCTCACCTTACGTCGAGTGAAGTTGGATTGACCTCGTGTCAATTCAAGTCAAACCCACATTGGATCGAGTTAAGTTGGAATTTGGTTGAGATGAGGCAAGTCAAACTCATGTGGGGTTGAATCAAGTCATAATAACATTTAGTTAAGTCGTTTCTAGTCTACTCTGTGTATGACAAAAATATGCATCTTGTAAAGTTTAGCATCTCCTAAGATAAATAAGGGAATGAGTGTTGATGACTATATAATAGACTTAAGTCTATGGTGTTTCTTGTCCAAAGTTTAAGACACTTTGAACTAATGTTTGATTTTCTATATACTCTTTTATTAGAATGTTGTGAGGTATAGTTAAATTTTAACTTTAAAAAATGTCTGGTATACTTTAAAGAGTTTGTAAATGATCTGTGTTGTGTAAATTTTCACATAATATTATTTTTTGAATGTCTTTAAATGATGTGTTTTTTTCTAAAATTTTGAAAGTTGTTGGAAATCTCACATCGACTAAAGATAAGGTCAATTCATAGTTTATAAGTGGTTGCAAACTTCATCCTACAAGTTGGTTTTGTGAGATTGAATTAGGTTTAAAATCAACTTCTAACATGATATTAGAGCCATAGTTAAAACCTATCTTAATGATATTTATTGTTTGCTAGTCATATTGTTTCACTATTTAATTTACTTTAAGTCAAAGTTGAACGAAATCCATATTAAATTTAGCTTAAATCATAATGTTAATTTATACTTAAAACATTATAAGAATTCGTGTAATGTTAAAAAAATATTTAAAAGTTAGGCAAACCCACCTTCACGTTAACTCTGTCCCAGTTTAAGTATACACTCTGAGAACTGAGATTTTTTTTAATCACTATTTGATGACTAATAAAAAAGTTAATTTTAGGACTTGAATGCTGGAATGTTATTGGGTGAAAATTTTGTTGAATGCATATTTATTAGGATTTCGGGTGAAAACGGGAAATATCAGATCAGAGGGGACACCGGCACACACTTAGCACAGACTCCAAATGGGCATGGTTTTATGGTTTTGATTTATTATAACGGTCAATGTGTTTTTTTAGAACTTATAATGATCGATGTTTTTAAAATTACACCACTTATTTAAACTGAATAAGTTTTAGTCGAGGTCCAATTGTATTAATAAATAATATATATATTAATGAAAACAAATTTATGCTTAAAATACAAATAAAATGACAAGTACTTTATGTTATTTTTGTAAGAAAATGAAAATTAACATTGTATTAAATATTTTTGTGACAATTCTTCAATTTTTGTCGGTCTTTTATTTTTTGATCACTTTTTCAGTTTAGCTCTATGGATTGATTAAATTAGACAACGCTCAAGTGACCTGACCAGCTTGATAGATTCCATTTTCAAAATCACTTAAGTAGATAATTTCTGTAAGTTAGCCAAGATCATGCTACAAATTATTTCTTCGCAAAAATGTTAAAATATATTCTTTCAAAAGCAAGTTGCTGTTTTATTAATGGGAGGATGAACACAAATCGTAGAAAATTTTTAGATTTCTTCTCTGCCTAATGGAGTCCATCAAGTTTGAGTTGAATTTTGTTATTAGTTTAAGTAATAATTGAAGGTTTATTTAAATACTTTGAAGCCCAGTGAGTAAATTTTAGAATAGTAAAAAATTCCCACACATTTTTTTTTATTGTATTGTGATTCCACAAGTTTAGGAACCTCTTAATGAAATTAAATAATAGAAAGAAGTACTATTTGCGTTATTAAACTGTCAAAGATTACTTAGATTTTGATTCTACATTCAGTACTTAACTCACAAAGTTGTTGGATATTAAATTATTTTAACCTATTTATAAGAATTATAACATATTCCATATTCGAGTATATCAGAAGCAGATCATTTCACTTAAGAAAAAGTTATGTTTATGTAATTTGCAATTACAAAATATTAATGTTTTTTCTAATTACAACTTAAAAGAAATCCCATAATAAAAATACTAAACTATTCATATTCTAATATTTACGTAGAAAAAAATAATATAGAAATACACATATTATAAGAATAATAATTTAATATATTTTTGTAATTTAAAAAAAAAAGAAGTAACGTAAAGAAAAACTAGTGTTAAATAATGTAAAAGAAAATTTCTGTGACAAAAAACAAAATCTCTTAAATATGTATGAGTTCATATGCATCACCTGTTTATTGTGTTTAAATGTATGGTTATAATGGTGAAGCATGGCTTTAGAAATCTTAATGCATGTTGAACAATATAACTACAGGTTTGAGCTGGGATTGGAGAAGCCAGATCCAATGAGAGCATTGCACAGTGCAATGACAATTGCCGCTGCTTACATAGTTGGTGGGCTTGTTCCTCTTGCTCCTTACATGTTCATTCCAAGGGCTTCAGAGGCCCTTCTGTTCTCAGTCGTAGTTACCTTAGCTGCATTGCTGATTTTTGGATATGCCAAGGGTTACTTCACTGGTAATAACCATTCAGGAGTGCTTTTGAAACAGCTTCATCGGTGCAATCGCCTCTGCAGCAGCTTTTGGTATGGCAAAGGCTTTCATCCATAGATATTTGTTTGAATAATTTTAAATATGAGTTTAAATTTCATATCGCATAAAATAACAAAACTAAAGACGATATAAAAATTAAATACGATATAAGAAACCTGTTTATGTGGAATTTTGACTCACAGATTGTCTCTGCTGTGATATCTTAGTTTTCTTTTTCTGCCATACACTTCCATGCAAGTACAACATCTTTTATTATGTTTTGGTGTGACCTTGGTGCTTCTGAATTTTCTCTCTTGGGTGTATCATTGAATATTCTCTCTCTGTTTAACAAAATATCGATCGTATTTTAATTTAATGAGTGAAATATTAGAGGTTGAAGAGGTATAATTAGCATTTTAGCTATTGGGAAGTGCTGAGAGATTACTTTTAACTTCTGATGAAGCAAATTTTGTTAAAATACCTGTGATTTTAAAACGTTGCATCCGGTATTATCAATTAGATTAGAAATATGATGAACTAACTTGAATTTGGTTAAGGTCAATTTATCTCGAAAAAAATTTGATTTAGCTTTAAATTATATTCAAGTTTGATGTATATATTCTTTTTTCAAGTATAAATTCGTTTTAAACGTTGCATGTTTTGGTGAATTTTTACCAAAATAAAGTAAGTTTCATTTAAAAAAAAAACTACATCCTGCACCACTCCAAATGATAATCTAACCTAGTCATCCTAAACTACTCAATGATGTATTTGATTAAGCATTCCATCCATCAAAACAAGATAAGACGTACCCATCACAACGAAAATTCAACAACCGAGAAATTGCATTTTCATTAAACCGGTTGAGTGTTCCACAGGTCAGTGCTAGTTTAGAATAGGAAAAGGAAAGAGAAATAAGGGATATGAGCTCACCGTTCTTCCCTCGCACAAGCTTGAGAACCTCAATAGTTTGTGCCTTATAACCACGGAGTTAATGGTATATAATAAGAATACATTTAAACAACATTTTATTAAGTGAAAATCCCCTTTGAATGAACCATTAGGGATTTATGTTTTTTATTTGGTGGAGTTAGATTATGGTGTTCTTCTTGAACATGGCTTCAGTGTTTGTAATGGTTGATCAATACATATTGAGTTTAAGACTAAATATTTCTAACATAATATCTTTGGCAATCAAACTTTTTCAGATTTTGTGTATTTTATCAATTTCTTAAATTCCTAACAAAAATGACGATGACAAATAATAAAAATAAATTAAAACGTGTTATTATCAACTTTTGAAAAACAATGTAATTTTAACTGTGTTGTTTGTTTTCTTACAATTTTATGACATACCAGTTTTCTTTCATAAATTTAATGGAGTGATAAAATATATAAAATAATGAAAAGTTTGATGATAAAATGTAAAAAAAAATGGGGCATAAAATTAACAAAATGATAGTAGATTAGTTGTAAAATCTGTAATTAGTTTAAGTTCAGACAACTTCGAAAACAAAATTTCGAATCTTAAACCATCACCAAAGCAAATATTTATCAAGTGAAAAACCTATTTGTGGCGAGGATGGATTCAATATTGAAGTTACAGATACTGAATTCATGGTGTTTCAAAACATAGAATATTAAAGAGTTAAATATGTTTTTGGTCCCTTAACTTTCAGCGAAAATTGAAATTAGTTCATCTTCAAAACTTTGGCCTAATTTAGTCTCCAAACTTTAGAAATGTGTGAATTTAGTTCTTTTAACTAAATTTTGTTAGGTTTATTTGATATTTCAAGTGTCTTTCATGATAGCATCTGAGTTGTTTACACATTTTGACACATTTTTGCTTCAATGTTAATTGAGAAATGCGTTTAAAACATCAAATAAAGTTAACAAAATTTGATTAAAAGGACTAAATTCGCACATTTCTAATGTTTGGAGACTAACCTAATCTAAAGTTTTGAAAAGAGACTAATTTCAATTTTCACTAAAAGTTAAGGGATAAAAAACATATTTAACCCAATATTAAATTATTCAATAAGACACAAGCAAGAGTGAATTATAAGGGTGGCATTGAAGATCATAATATTGAATAAAAGGGGTTGTGCTCGCATGTAATCTTACTGTACAAAAAATTAAAATAAGTAATAAGTAATAACTAATAACAGCAAAAAATTTGAAAAGGTCTTTTTCTTATGAAGAATAACAAAGTTTTTATAAGAAACTTAGTTGCTATGAAATACAAGGCACGGAGAATCTATGGATTGAAAGCCTTTGCCATACCAAAAGCAGCTGCAGAGGCGATGGCACCTATTAGAGCTGTTTCCAAAGCACTCCTGAATGGTTTATTGCCCGTAAAGTAACCCTTGGCATAACCAAAAACCAGCAATGCAACCAAGGTTACTATAACTGAGAACACAACCGCTTCTGATGCCCTTGCAATGAACATGTAAGGAAGGAGTGGGACAACTCCTCCCAATATGTAAGCGATGGCAATTGTCATTGCACTATACAATGCTCTCTTTGGATCTGGTTTCTCTAGTCCCAGCTCAAATCTGTCATACCAAGATTACAACCAGTTAATTTGTTTAACACTACCTTTGATCATAGCCAATATTCATCAATCCTAGAATGATACATTCAAAAAATTAAATAAACAGAGGATGTAAACTGCATGCATGTTTCAGAAATTTCTTCATTGATTATTTTCTTCATGTTTTCTTTCACTTTTTCTCCTCAATACTCATGCTGAATGCAAATATGCAGCATATTTCTCTAATTGGGGATAAGGACTTGCTATTTTTTTAAAAAAACCCTACTATTTGTAATTTCAAATGATATAAACAGTAAACAATGTTTCCAAAGGGCAGCTTTATACAGTCAGGTTTTCTAGTTCTGTGTATAGATAAATGGATTTGTATTTTTCAAAATCATACCAAATTAACTCCTTAAATCGTTTTTTTTTAAACACAATGATCATGCCATAATATTTTGTCTATAGAAGTCATAACCAAACACTCAACATTGTATCACTACATTTTGCTCTAGAGGAATATCTTCTAACAAGTATGAAGAAATAGTTTATAAGCACAGTTTCATAACCAACATTAATTATAACAAAAACCAAACCAGAAAAAGATGCCCATGTTGTAGTCATAGCGTCCCTACAAGGCCGTCCCCTTTTCTAGTTTCCACATTCCAATCCAAGTAATACATGCCAACTAAATGGAAGTGGGAATTTTGGACCCCATAACCATGCCCACCTTCAAAAAGTGAAAGGTTACTTTGCTTTATATTCCTTTAGGTGTTGCTACTTTTCAACTTGTCCACAAATTCCCATTATTGTGTCTGGTCCTCAATTAATCATTTAGTTTGTCCTCATACCACATTCACTATATAATAGACCATCATAAACCCCAAAATTTATACACCTTGTATAGGAAGACTTTCAACAAATAAACATGTTTAATTTTGTACTGAAGTGAGAACGAAAGAACTTACCTCATCATGAAATCAAGCCATGCCTGAGGTTTTTTTCTGAGAGCATTCACCACAGGTGCATATTCGTGTGCCTCGATCCCATACTGAGCTAGAATTTCTGCCACCTCTGCCGCTTCTGTTTTTATTTTTACAGAACACATTTATTATTAAAGTGCAATAAAATGTCAACAAGTGGTTGTTGATTCTGAGTATGTTACTGCTTTCGATGGAAATGAACAATATTCAGCTATCATTTTTAAAACTAATCCTACAGAGATTAACAAGTTATCAAAGTCTAAAGGAATGAATTTTTAATTTGTGAAAACACGTATATATGGTCAAAATTAATAGAAATAAAATAGAAAAAAAAAAAAGTGAAATGATTCTGTAAAAATTAAACAGTGTAAGTCACCCAAAATTTCTGACTTATTGATAATATGAAATAAAAGAATGTTACATGAACATAAACATAATATACAAAGCATAATAAAATAACAGTGGAAACCAGTTTCCGGCATCGTGATGATTTCTTCTTGCTCTCTTTTCAATTCCCTCCGGTAATTATCGGTTTCACTTTTTGCTGCCAAATAACTGCACAACGAGACATTAGCCCAGATCGTTTCATGAGAAAATTTTCTGATCAAACAGAATCTAAATTAAGTTTTGTGAGTATGAAGTGTTGGTTGAACGTAAGTACCCGCCGAGCCCCATGGAGATGGCGCCGGCGGCGACTTCGNTTTCAGAAATTTCTTCATTGATTATTTTCTTCATGTTTTCTTTCACTTTTTCTCCTCAATACTCATGCTGAATGCAAATATGCAGCATATTTCTCTAATTGGGGATAAGGACTTGCTATTTTTTTAAAAAAACCCTACTATTTGTAATTTCAAATGATATAAACAGTAAACAATGTTTCCAAAGGGCAGCTTTATACAGTCAGGTTTTCTAGTTCTGTGTATAGATAAATGGATTTGTATTTTTCAAAATCATACCAAATTAACTCCTTAAATCGTTTTTTTTTAAACACAATGATCATGCCATAATATTTTGTCTATAGAAGTCATAACCAAACACTCAACATTGTATCACTACATTTTGCTCTAGAGGAATATCTTCTAACAAGTATGAAGAAATAGTTTATAAGCACAGTTTCATAACCAACATTAATTATAACAAAAACCAAACCAGAAAAAGATGCCCATGTTGTAGTCATAGCGTCCCTACAAGGCCGTCCCCTTTTCTAGTTTCCACATTCCAATCCAAGTAATACATGCCAACTAAATGGAAGTGGGAATTTTGGACCCCATAACCATGCCCACCTTCAAAAAGTGAAAGGTTACTTTGCTTTATATTCCTTTAGGTGTTGCTACTTTTCAACTTGTCCACAAATTCCCATTATTGTGTCTGGTCCTCAATTAATCATTTAGTTTGTCCTCATACCACATTCACTATATAATAGACCATCATAAACCCCAAAATTTATACACCTTGTATAGGAAGACTTTCAACAAATAAACATGTTTAATTTTGTACTGAAGTGAGAACGAAAGAACTTACCTCATCATGAAATCAAGCCATGCCTGAGGTTTTTTTCTGAGAGCATTCACCACAGGTGCATATTCGTGTGCCTCGATCCCATACTGAGCTAGAATTTCTGCCACCTCTGCCGCTTCTGTTTTTATTTTTACAGAACACATTTATTATTAAAGTGCAATAAAATGTCAACAAGTGGTTGTTGATTCTGAGTATGTTACTGCTTTCGATGGAAATGAACAATATTCAGCTATCATTTTTAAAACTAATCCTACAGAGATTAACAAGTTATCAAAGTCTAAAGGAATGAATTTTTAATTTGTGAAAACACGTATATATGGTCAAAATTAATAGAAATAAAATAGAAAAAAAAAAAGTGAAATGATTCTGTAAAAATTAAACAGTGTAAGTCACCCAAAATTTCTGACTTATTGATAATATGAAATAAAAGAATGTTACATGAACATAAACATAATATACAAAGCATAATAAAATAACAGTGGAAACCAGTTTCCGGCATCGTGATGATTTCTTCTTGCTCTCTTTTCAATTCCCTCCGGTAATTATCGGTTTCACTTTTTGCTGCCAAATAACTGCACAACGAGACATTAGCCCAGATCGTTTCATGAGAAAATTTTCTGATCAAACAGAATCTAAATTAAGTTTTGTGAGTATGAAGTGTTGGTTGAACGTAAGTACCCGCCGAGCCCCATGGAGATGGCGCCGGCGGCGACTTCGGCTATGCCAGCGGTGAGAACGATGGAGGAGGTGGCATTGGCGCCGGAGAGGCCGGCGGCGAGGGCGAAGGGGACGGTGAGGCCGTCGGAAACGCCGATGATGATGTCGCGGACTATTTCGCCGGCGGTGAAGTGCTTCTCGGTGTGTTGGCTGAGAAGGCTCTTTCTCTCAGGTTCGAGGCTTATTCCGTGTTCGGCGGCGGCCATTGGTGCAATCTTGTGAATGTGTTTAAGATGGCGAATGTGCTATTGAATCCAAACAAAGCCTTGCTGCTTTGCACATAGATTGAGCCTCTTCTCTGCTCTACTTGTTTTGAATAGGACAAAATATCCAACGCGTGGATGATATCCACGTGGAAAATATCAATAGATCAACATTTGATTATTTGTCTTTATTTTTTCAATATTTTTATTTGTTATTCATTTTTATCACTATTATTTTGATATTTTTTTATATATTGTCATAAATTTTGTTTATCTAAATTTAATATATATTAAAATTTAAAAGATGAAAAATGTTTAATTTTTTTTGCGTGATTTCATTTAGGTGATATATTATAATTTTTATTAATTTATTAAAATGAGATTTTATTATAATTTAAAAAATAAAAGTAAATAGACATATAAAATATTTTAAATTTGAATATCTGTTTTCTTTTTGTAATATTTTTAAGTTTTATCAATTTTGTTTGATTAAGTTTTGTAAAAATATAATAAATGTCTTGGCAATCTTGAAATTTATTTAATACTTTAATTTAAATTTGAAATATATATAACTATAATTATTTTATACATATTTAGTATTGAAGAAATGACAATATAAATATTTTTTGTGTTGAATATTTGATGATGTTGTATTTTTCATAAACTTTTTTATTATTTTATAAAAAATAAATAAATAATATTAAAATAATAAGAAAGCAAACACGAGGAGATGGAAAAAAATTTCATACCTTGTGTACGAAAATAAAAATAAATTTTTCCAATATGTGATATAATAAAACTCATCCCTTTTAGCCGTTAGCATCCTTAAACACTACCACCGTCACATTATTTCTACACTGATCATTTAATTATTTTAAAATATTATATCCCAATCAATATGTAACATCAAACCTTCCAAAAAAAGAAAAAGGTAGAATTTATACTATTCTACAAAATTTTACAAGTGGTTAATGTTCTTTACTCCATGATAAAAAAAAAAACTATGTGAATAATGCTTAAGTATTTAATATTGTTATATTTAGTTTTTAATAAAAAAATATATTTATATGTAGTCCCTAAATGAATGGATATATTTTACTAATCTCAATACCAAGAAATTTCCAATACCTAACTAAACTATTTAACATAATTTGTATCACTTAAAAAATTATTTACATAATTTCTTATTTTAGGAACTGTGAGAGAGCATATATTACTTTTAGGATGAAATTGATTGATTAATTATTTATTTAATAATTTTTCATCAATATTTTAAATGGAATAGCTTTATCTCTTCTTCTCCCTCGTTATTTCATCCATAGCATTGATTCCAAAAACTTGTTCAAGAATTCGGAGTTTGATTCCATAAAATCAATCACTTGTTGGAAAATTATGGAAGAATGTGTAGAAAGATATAAAATGATTGTTTAAAGAGAAATATTAGCAAATTTTAAATATATTATAGATTATTAATTGAATTTATGGAAATTAAAAAGAAATTGTAGGTCACCACCCTTCCACTTTTTTTATTTTAATGGTATCAACTCATAACTTTACAATTCTACTCATTCAATTTTAAGCAATAACAAAAAATATGTTGGAAGAAGTGTGTTTATGAAATTTATGTTAATTCTCATTATATTTTAAACTTAAATGTAGTTTTATTCTTCATAATTTTACGTATGAATAATTTTAATTTTTATGTATATTAGATATACATATATAAATTTTAAGTCTCTAAAATCAAACAATTTTAATTCATTGAATAGGCAATGTGAGTGATAAACATGCACCATATTTTAGTAACTAAATTACTTATGAACATTAAACTAAAATTGCTTAATTTAAAAAAAAATCAAAACTAAATCTATAATCTAATTTTTTTTAGACTAAAATTTTACATTTGGAATTATAGAAACTAAAAGTGAATTTAAGCCAAAATTTTAATATTTTACTTTGAATAATTTTGTATTTTTTCACAATTTTTATTACAACATTCTTAATATGTATTAAATATAACACATTCATGAAACTATCAAGACTAAACAAATCAAGCCTAAATTTTAATATTTTAATTTGAGTCATTTTATATTTTTCTCACATTTTCTTACAATGTTCTTAAAATGTATTAAACATAATATAAGAAATAAAAAAAATATGGCAATAAAATTTAAAAGTATTCTGTACTTAACTATTGATTTTATTCGTCACTTAAAATTCTTATTTCCATTGCGTTTTTCTGATATTACCATTGACAACTATATTTGATTATTTTGTTTTTCATATTTGAATTATGAATGTTTTAAAAAAAATATTTTAATTGTTTTAACTATTTGTTAGCTGAATTGTTTTAACAAGTTTTCTTGGGATATGATGAGGTTTTATTACATGTAGGTAGGTGAATTATTATTTCGATTTACTAGCTATATAAACATTTAAATATGGAAAAGAATATTTTGACAACCAGTTTTTC